AGACGTTGTTGCGCAGTGCAATCTTATTACGTGCGCATGTGAGGACACCATGAGCTCGTTATAGTTAATTGTGAATTATTATCGTAGTAAACAGAAAAGACTATTCAACCTATACATATTCTGACGAGAGCAGCAAAGCTGCAGTGGGGTTTAGGCCATAATGCTTTGAGAACAATATACAAAGGAGCTATTATACCTATGCTGACATATGGATCTCCTGTTTGGGTAGAATTCCTACAGGAAAGGGAGAACATATATAAACTACAGAGAGCAGAAAAGCTGATTAATATTAAAATAACGAAAGACTACAGAACACTATCATATGAAGCCTCATGTGTCGTTGCCTGGGTTAAGCCTAACTGCATTACTGTCGAAGAAGCAGTGCAGATATTTAAAACTACACACGGACTGAAAGATGACTCTACCGAGTACGAAGCACCATTAAACAAGAAGGAATGGCCTCATCCTGCGGAGAGAATAACTCTTGATTAAGTGAAAGACTTCAATAAATACACTGTGGAAATCTATATAGATGGAAGTAAACACGAGGGAAGCAGTTGAGTTTAGCTTGTAGTGAGTGCACCTCTAACGTGTTGAGATAATATTCTAGATTAAATCACTGTGCCACTGTAAAGTAATCTTAAAGCTATACCCATTAGAACACATGAAAGCCTGTTATCTGTTGTTCGTTCGGTGGTTGTGGAACGAATGCTTTTAGGATTGGTCTTCACTCACCGCGAAATCTTGTGCATGCGAGAATATCAAATTCCTAGCAGGGCTTTTCTCTTGGTCTGTGGACTGTAGTAAAGGAGATTGTTGTTTGTTTTATGTAGTTACAGCATCGCACCGTCTCTAGTTTGTGAATAGAAATGTGTTACTTGCAATGCCATCTGTAAGTTCTATTTCATGCGTACCAACTGTCGTTAATAAATTACGACAAATTCTGTTTGTAGTTTTTCATATAGGAAATTAAATTGCTATTGTGGCCGGTAATCCTTTAGATACATATATATTTAGATTCATTCTTATTGACTTATGATTAATTCGATGTGCGAATTATCATTATGAAATTGGAATGAGTTTAGTTATGAATATTCATGTGATTTTTCTCTATACAATTTATGGAATAATTTTTGCAAATTTGGATGTCTCGTGATGTATTTCGACGAATCTTAGCACACAGGTAATATGAACTGACATTTGTGTGCATAATTATGTAATGATAAAGTATTTATAATACTACTGATTTTTATAATGTTAATATCTTTCTGGTGGAACATCTTTGAGTTCTAAAGTTGTGACTACCCTGTCTTTGGTGTACATTGAGCACCTAAAATTTGGGTTTGTCATGTCTTTCGTGTTGGAAGCAATATATCTAAGGTTGAAGTGTAGGTAGCGATTTTTACTGACTGGGATACTGTCACGTCTCTTATGTGGCGGCTTTGTGAATTCCCCACAGGTCGCAGCACAATACGAATGGCGTTATGTTGCCTTGTAATTGCATTGTAGATTCGCGTTTGGTTTGATGTATCACATAGTTACAGGTTATGTGCAAAGGCATAATTGCAGAAAGTTGAAGTATGATTAAGGGCGAAATCTACGTTATGATCCGAAATTCAAACTTGTAAATAATGCCAACTGTAAATTGTAATATTTTGTTCCTGACTACATGTTATTGTCGTGTATGTTTCTGAAAAACAATGCACTTTAAACATTACTGGAATAGAACATGTGTTAATTCGAATTTTCTATCCCGTTAAAGAATTTCGCTTAAATTTTATGACAGCAATGAACATTTCGACTTGGTCTTTTTACAGGCAATGCTATAACCAGCATTAAAAAGGGGTTATGATGTCGGCGGGAACATAACTACAACTGACAATGTTATCTGGCGTATCTACTACTGATAAAAAGACAACATTTACGACCGTATTTCACGGATTACGACTAACCGCTAACAAATATGTAGGTAAGTTGTTTGTTATTGAAGTTGAAAGGATTTGCAAAATCGATCAAGACTTCAATTCATAAACACTTCTACGTTATATTTCCTTACCGGTATTCATTGTTTTCAGGTAATCTGGCACCTATATTTCCAGAGAGACTGGAAGCGCAAGAACTGAGCATTAAAATGTGGCGTAACAAATAATTGATAAGTTTGACAGTTATTTAATTTTACATAATCAGAATTGTACAGAATGGCTTACTCATCACTCAAACTTGTTGCAAGTGATCCAGCCTGCATACTTCAACTGTGCTCAACTTTATATGACAGAAATGCTCCAGAAATACAGATAAAGATAAATAACTATGTAAGTTCTTGAATGAAAATGTACCAGCAACTTGACTACTTGATATTAGTTGGACCAGTTTTAAAGAGCACATTTGTGAATAAATCAGATATTAATGAATGGAAATATTCAAGCTTTTCATTGAAACATATTGTGATATAAGTATAGAACAGAATATTGTCCCCCCCCCCCAGACACATCAATTAACATGCACTGTAAATATTTCTAGATATGAGATTTGTGGGTTATCACAATGATGAAGATAGTGATATTATTCTTCTGGATTGTGGTACTGTGTATATTTGTAGCGAAATACGAGTACTAACATAAGTATACATAGACTAACACATAATTTTAATCTTGTACTGATATTTATTGTCGTGTGTTACATGCTGTAAGTAATCTACACATTTCCAACACTTAATATAATATTGTTTTCTGATTTCAGTGTAATTTATTTTTTGTCAAATAGAACATGTGTCAGGAATGTGTTGCATGACTTTTTGATCACTGTGTGCTGTATTTGATGTAACTGATTTGTATGTGGGACAGATTGCTGTATAGCAAGATGTTTTAAATGTATGTAGTGTTCTTGCTGGAAAACATAGTTTGTGTCATTTATGATATAATAACCAAAATTTAGTATTGTTAAATGGTATCCACCATGTGATATTTCAGATTTTCGCAGTAGCAAGATACTGTCTTCTGTGATGTCGCATAATATCGTAGAAGAGAGTCTTCTTCAGTATGTAACATGGTTGTGTGTACTTATTGTGACTGTATTCCACAGCTTAAAAATCAGACTGGATCATCAACAGTAATTTTGGTCCCACTATTAAGGGAAACCGAAGAAGCATTGGTTCAGGTAATCGGCGAACAAGTTCTGCAACAGGAAATGAGATTTCCCGTAAGTTGAACATGTGGAAGAATATTCCATTGAAGATACATCCTAAATCGCATTGCAGTTTATACAGTACTAACATTAGAAGACCTAATTCTCATTCGTGCCTCTGAACTCAAATTCGAGGTTTCAGACTAGCATGGTTAAGATAGCCGGCTTCGTTTTACAATTTTCTTAATGTGAATTGAAAGCAAAGTACTACAAATTTTTTGGCAGAGTAGATTTTGATGAAACAATGGTTCTTTTACAGTTGCCTGATGACGTTCTTAATGTGGCAGTAAAACATCAGCATTCTCTTGAGGGAATTCCATCCGCACTGGATTTAGAACTTTTAAAGAACTTTCGCAGAATTATCAGACCTGAACCTAGAACATTTCTTAATGTGCCAGTTCTTCATCCTGAGGAAAACTTCGCAGTTCTCATCGTCTGCCTTTTCGACTACGATGAAAAGGGAATGACTGAGTCTGCGTGTACTCACCTGGTGACAGAACTGTTTCAGTGAGTTTATTTTCTGTTATTTGTTTCTTTTCAGACATATCTTGACCTTTACATTTAACATGTTAATATTATTATGTTTGCGGTATCGAACGAAGATGTCCCAAGGTAGAGAATTGCGGTACTCGTGATAACACAGAAAAGGAAGAAGAGATTTTAATAAAATGTGAATGAATGAAAGATTTAGGTGAGATTTCAGGTTCTCCTGGTGGTGAGTGTAAAAATTGCTCTGTCGTCTGGGTTGTAGCACAATGTAGTCTGGTAGAAGTTCTACCAACGTTTCAGAGGTACAAGCTGCTTCTTTCATCAATATATTTAGTTGCCCTGATGATTGAGGCATCGAGCACTTCTGAAATGTCAGTAAACTATCAGACCGCATGGTGCACCAATCCAGAAGATGGCCATATCTGAATGAAAATCTGGTTCTTCAGTAAATTTGGAACCATTTTATGTGAAGTGGGAGTTTTCTAACTTTCTGTTTCTGAATCGTTGAAGATTCATTATGGTTTTGTGTCGGCTTGGCGTTCTTTGCAGTTACTGTCTCGGTACTGTGCTGAATACATTTGCGTATGAGGAGGAGAAACAAATGAGGCTGCAGTGCCAGTCCATGTTGGCCGTCGCAAAGAACATTTTTTCTCGCTTGGGTGAGTTGCGGCTGATATCGTCATGTTGTTTCAGAAGTTTCATGAGTAGGACCTCAGTACTTAGTAGTTCACGCGGTTAATATGGTTACACCGAAAAGCTATTAAATCAAGAGAAACAAAGATGAAATGAGAATTTTTTAAAAATAAATTTTGAGTTTTTGTAGTTAACCTAATATTATGTGGGTAATAAAATTACTCAGGTTACAATGGGTTAGGTTAGGTTCAGTTGTAAGGTTTTGCCTATTGATGGACGTGGAGCCACCTTCAGAAGTGCCGTGTCTTTAAAATATTTGAATTAATAGTTGAATAATGTCCAAGAATATACTTTAGTTCATGTAGCTTGTTACTGATGACACCAACAAAAACCATAAAGATCCTTTTTACAGACTGTTCTCCCAATTGTGACTTTATAGTTAGAATAATTGACTAAAAAAAATGATACTGTGTTTAGGTGACCTGACAGATTTGTTACGAGAAATTATGGTGGAGGCACGGAAACTTACAAATGCTGAGAGATGCTCAATATTTCTGCTAGATTCAGAACACAATCATTTGGTGGCTAAAATTTTTGACGGAGAATCATCAACAGAGGTGAGTTTTATGAATCTGATTAGTTTCAGTCCATCCTGTATACATTTAGCGCATTCAAAATCACGGTTGTGTCTTGCATGCGTAGCATTCAGTAAAATACTGACCTTTGTGAGTGGTGGGTGCATGTACGTGTGTGTACGTGACTTACTTTCATTTGTTTGTGGTGTGAGGTAAAGTTTTATATTATGTGAAATATGGCTGGGCTATCACAATTGCCGAGGCTTTGCGAGTCAGAGTCTGAATGTGTTAAATTGTACTTTTCTTTTCATTTAGACACTGAAGGAAATGCGCATAGCCAAGGACCAGGGTATTGCAGGACATGTGGCGACTACTGGAGAGCTACTGAACATTCGTAATGCCTACACACACCCACTGTTTTATAAGGGTATTGATGACATTACTGGTTTCAAGACAAGGTAAAACCAACTCTTCCTCATATTCAGTTCATGAAATATGCAGTTCTAGTCTCTTTACTCATTCTGCATATTATGCTGATGCGTGTCTAATCTGTTGCATTAGTACATCTGTGAAACAGGTGCCAGAAGGATTGTCATGTTTATTGTCTTCCTGCTTCCTTCTCATGCTCGCATTTTGTAGCTGTTTCAGTCTTTGTTTGTGACCATTTTAATTTATTTTTCATGTGTAGGAATGAACATGTAAAATGTGTGGTAAAAGCAAAAGGGTCGCCCTCGGTAGACAAGTGGTTAGCGTGCTCGCCACTGGACCCAAGGTTCACGGGTTCCATCCTGGCCGAGGTCGATGGATTTTTAAGGTTGATAAAAATCCGAAGCACAACTTCCTTTGGAGGGGAAGTAAAGCCGGCGGTCCCGTGTCGTAGATTTACGGCACGTAAAACAACGTTATGAGCACGATGTGAGATGTTTCGTAAGCAAAATTCAGCGGCCATTTCTCACCCAAGTCTCTCATGCTTCACTGCTAGATGGCTCTGGCAGTCAAATCAGGAGTGAGTAGAAATTGTGCAGAGTCAGTGGGCTTGTCACTCACTACTCTTAAATGCACGCTTTGAAGACTAGGAAACCTCCGAAACGAGGCGGCGATGACCCACTGCTGGGTTAAGCTACTAATAGATAGACATGGGGGGTTTACCTGCGGGTGTCCCCAGGGAACACAGTGCTCAGGAGTGGCCCAATCCTATGGGAGGCAAAGCCCGCCAGGAACAGTGTCAGTCTTCCTGAAGCTTAGATGATGTAACATGAGGTGGTAGTGGCTCAGGGATGTCCAGCCTGGTGAAGACAAAGCCGGGATCAACAAACAGTAAAAACAGCAGTAGGAATTTCGATAACAATAAAAAGAACGGTGTCCCCGTGGGCATGCAGGTTGCCTACCTTGTAGGAAGAGAACATGGGTAGGCAGGTAAGGTGTTTATTGCTGACAGTAGAGCTCAAAGAACTTCAGATAATGAAACTGGAAATGTATTTCTTGTTCTGTTTCAAGGAACATTCTGTGTTTCCCGATTCGTAAAGATAAGGACATCATCGGCGTAGCCCAACTCTGCAATAAGAAGAATGGCCTTTATTTTGATGTGTTTGATGAAGAGGTTGCCATGGCATTCAGCATTTATTGTGGCATCAGCATTATGCACAGTTTAGTCTACAGGAAGATACAGGAAGCACAGGCTAGGAATCAGCTGATAAATGAGCTCATGATATATCATATGAAGGTATGTGGAGAGAAGTAGATATTTTACAGATTAAAGAGTAGCGAGCTATCTTCCTACTGAGAATGTTGTAATAGTGCCGCTTAGATTACCATCCATAACCGAGAATCTTCCTGGCTTTCTTTAGCGTCTACAGGTGGTTTCCAGAATCAGAAACCTTGAAACAGGGTGGACTACCCCATTCAGAATCCTTATTTACTCAACATAATGATAATTTTCCCCATATTATTCATCTTGTGGCCAATGTAATACATCCCTTAGCAGGCCAAAATGGTTGTAACCAGTGTCTGACATTGTGGTATAGTCACCATACAGGTCTTTCATGTACCTACGCATTTATACTGAATTTATTTCTTCCGTATACAAACATCTCATAAATTAGCCATTTTGAAAGGGTGCTGTGATGTTATCACATGACTGATTGCAACACCGCTCGCCTTCATATAGGTGACAGGAGAGACTTGAGACATCATTGAAATATTTTACAGCTTCAGTGTGTAAAATCTAAGTTAATGAAATTGAAATGACGAGACATTGTTTTCATTTTTGCCTTGATTCATCTGATGCTCCATTTTGTACTTGCTTTTAAGATAAAAATTTAAATTCTGTATTAACATACCTGTTGTATCTACAAAACCGCATCATGCGGAACAAAATTATGAACACACGGTGATTATACAATAAGAACGTTTGTATCTGTTTTGAACATTCAAGTCTGTTGTATTACAGGTTAGTGATGAAGATGTTGATCATCTGCTGTCCTGTTCCAATAGTCACGACGTACCCAACTTCAATGACTTTAGATTCTCACCTCGCTCACTGCCGTGGGAAGAGATGGCCTGTTACACTCTCCTGATGTTTACGGATCTGGAACTCGATGAATTATTTAACATTAAACGTGAAACACTCGCAAGGTGAATGCGACCAAAAAGTGTTTTGTGTTTGTCACTGTCCTGCATTTTCAATGGTAATAGTATGTTAGAGTAAAGAAAGTTTATATGTTTGACTGTTTTACGATCATGTTAACCAATAATCACTATATTATCATTGTTAGGTACCCATGCAGTATTTTGTCCAAAATATTCTTGCGTTATAAATGTTATGATCTGCCCAAACCAGGGATTCTCAGCCCACGGTATGCATGTGGCCCACACATACTTTACTAAGACCTTCTCTATTAACATGTAGGATGAAAAATAGTTTCCTCGTGTCAGAGAATATGTCGTATTAATGTTGTCGATAGAGAACAGTAACTGTTACTGTAAGTAACCGTTCAGCTCAGTGAAATATCTCAAAATTAGGATGCATTATGGTTATAAGCACTTTGAGGGATGCATGCAAATCTCAGCAACAGAAATCAAATATTTTTAATATGCGTAAGAGTTTTCAGGTGACTGCCCAGATTACAGTTTGAGAGTGGCTACAGCTGCGGGTTTTAAATCTTTACTTACCGTTGATGATCATTTTCCCATCCTCTTGGCTATGTAATCATTTTATCATTGTTATAATACCTAAAAATCCATCTAATGACATATTTTATGTTGCAGATTCATTCTTTTCGTCAAGAAGGGTTATCGAGACATTCCGTACCATAACTGGAGACATGATTAAGAATTTGGACCTTATAAAGCGTGGATACATGACGTAAGCTCATAATGTATCAGAACTTGTTGCATGCAACTGAGTCGAAGTAACATTGACCTGATAAACTACTCCTTATAGGAGGGTCTGTGGTCTGAACAAATATTTTACTCATTTCAGACCCCTGGAATGCCTAGCATTTATGGTATCATGTATTTGTCATGATTTGGATCACCGGGGAACAACCAACTCATTCCAGACGCAGTCTGGCACCGTACTTGCCAACCTGTATAGCTCCGAAGGTTCTGTTATGGAGGTAAATTTTGTAATTTGTGAACGTCATTTTTAATTTTAAACAACCTGTTCTCAGACTCATATGACAATAAAATTGAGTGGATTATAAATCTGTTATGTAGCTAGTCGTAAATTAAGGAATGTCAGATTTGAGGTATATGTTTTCCAAAAACAGGGTGAAATTGTTTGTTTGCAGAGACACCATTTTGCTCAAGCGGTGTGCATGCTTAACACAGAAGGTTGCAACATACTGGACGGAATTCCACGTGAACAGTACACAAAGTGTTTGGATGTAATCAGGGACCTGATCTTAGGTAATTGTGATGTAAACGTAAGACAGGAGCTGTTGAACTTCAACATTTACAAATTCATCACTGAATATTTAATTGCCGATTTAAACATTTTTGTCAGGTAGTCAAAACTAAGGGCCACGGTGGTCTAGCGGTTAGAATGCTTGCCTTGTAATCCTGGGGTCCCGGGTTCAATTCCCGGTGGTGCTCAGATTTATAACTTGTGTTGGGCAAGGCCGTGGTCTAGGCATCACGGAGTTTTCCTCCGGGGGCTTCCCCGGTTTCTCCGTGGCATCCCAACAGTTACTTCATTCACACACAGAAGAAGGCAATGGCAAACCACTTCTGGATCATCTGCCAAGAACGTATATGAACAGGTCCCAGTCTGAGATAAGGATGGAAGGATCCTGTTCATATGGACCTGTCGTCAGACAGAACACTACAAATAAAATAAAATAGTCAAAACTAAACAAAGACACAGCCTCAGACTTGGAGGCCCTCATGAATATGTTAATGAACCTTCAGTTTCCATAGAGGGTACGAGATTTATTCAGTAGCAGAGCAACTGTTGACTCTGTTGAGTGGAGTTAATCGCTTTTTTTTTTTGGAACAAATTGTTGTAGGTGGAAACATTGGTGGATTAGAAGAATTAATGGTAACATATATTTATTAAATTCATTGAACGCATAAAATACGCTTAAAAAACAGAACTTAGCGACATATAAAAATACAATAAATACAATGCATTTAAAAATAAAACTAGTCCTCAGTCACAACAAATTATTTCATCATAAATTGGTACGTTGCTTCTGGATTTCAGCAACGGATCTTGCATCCCACTTCAGAGTTTTCAAAGAGCAAGAGAAGCTTCTGGTTGAATTCCAGGAGCACAAAGAAGATCAGAGACGCCTGCTTCTCTGTCTTTTTATGAGTGCATGTGACCTCAGTGACCAGACCAAGGACTGGTCAGTGGCAAGGCAAACAGCTGTAAGTACAGACGAGAACAGGCTTATGAATCCTTTGAGATACCATTAAAAATATATGTTTTGCCTGGATGTGACACGTGTTTCTTGTGGGTGTAAGCAATGCATTTTAAGTCAGGCAGACGTCTGCTAGATGACAGAGCAATTATAGTTTGCGACTGTAATCTTGAGACTTGCAAGGAATGGAGGAAGTCCGAAGCGTTAAAGGCTAATGCTATCTTTCCTCCTTCACCCCGCAAGTCTCAAGATTACAGTCGCAAACAGTACAGGAGCTTGGACAATGCTTTTGATGGTACATATTTTGATAGATATTGTTACAGTAGAGCTGATTTCCATGAATTAAACTTTCTAAAAAATTTATATAAGACGTAACATAACAAAACATCCTGAATCTTTCCATCTCAGGTGCCAGGTGTTGATGCCAAAAATGTTATTAAGGCTTTGATTAAATTAACTCGGAGGACAGAGTGAAACAATCTCATTTATTGCTGCAGGACTTGATATACAAGGAGTTCTTCACCCAGGGAGACCTGGAGAAGACAATGGGTACGAGCCCGGCTGAATCAATGGACCGTGACAAGGCCTACATTCCAACGTTGCAGATACAGTTCCTAGACAACATTGTTATTCCATTATATGGGTGTGTATTTCTATATCCATTAGACTTTGATTCTTTACTGTGGCATCCTGGTGTAATTTTGAGTTGTG